CAATTGTAATTCAGGCATATTGAATTTCTAATTGTGAAACTAAACATAATGATAAGATTTCCACTTTACAACTGATGGAATGTGTGGTTGGTTGAAATTTATTTTAAACATACATTTTTACACATCACTGGAATATTAATGTGAGAAAGTTATTAATCTTGATGAGAAATGAAATATCTTTATTAAACGTCAACAGAGCTCAGCAATTAAGCTAAAATAGGATCAATTTTGCAAGAGCTAAATTATATTGAGATAGAAATATTATTGGACACTGTAAATGTTTTTGTTTATTATAAACTTGGAGATGGTGTTCGTGTGTACGTTTCAGTGGATGGGTTGTAAATATGTTATGAAAAGTATGAATGGATATTGATAAAATAATTGTGTTGATGGAATGGTGACAGATGAGAAATAGCTCACCTGTACGGGAGATAGATGACACCTGTATAGGTGAGGCTAATTACAGGTGTGTGGTAGAGAGGGTTAGGTGCACCGATGTATGTACAGGTAGAACACAGGTGTTACTGAAGCTGATTGGTTTTCCACTGAATGCAGATGTAAAGTTAATTACATAGGAATGAAGGCAAGAGATATATATTGGTTTGCTTACCTGGAAATTATTTATCTGTGGGACTTCTAGCAGTGTGACCTAGGATATTAACTTTTACCTTGGGGACTACCTGTCTAATACCTGTGATGTAGGAGATGGACATTTACCTTTGTGATGACTTACCTGGGATATTATTTACCTGTGTGACCTAGGATTTGGACATTTACCTTTGTGATGACTTACCTGGGAAATTATTTACCTGTGGGACTTAGGAGATGGACATTTACCTTTGTGATGACTTACCTGGGAAATTATTTGTTTACTTTTGAACGACTCACAGGAGAAATTATCTACAGTTAATTGTGATTTTGGAAATGACATACGTTAGAGCCTGTTATATTATATTGGCCTTTGTTAACATGTAGGAAATATTTCCTATGAGAGTTAATAGTTCGAGTGAAAAGGTTGAAAGGCGGATATTTTATGGCAATGGTGATTCTCAGATTTCTGTTTTCTGCTCCGTTCATTTTGTGGCTAATAATATGTGCAGTAATGTGTTACCAAGGGAATATGATACTTAAACGTTGACTACGAAGTTACCGGGGTGATACAGTGGTAATCCGTTACAGTGGTGATACAGAGGTAATCTGTTACCGTGGTGATACAGTGGTAAACCGTTACCGTGGTGATACAGAGGTAATCCGTTACCGTGGTGATACAGAGGTAATCCGTTACCGGGGTGATACAGTGGTAATCCGTTACAGTGGTGATACAGAGGTAATCCGTTACCGTGGTGATACTGGTGTGACAACAATGGTGTCAAGTGTTTTAAAATCTGGTATTTTATAACAGTCACTTGTATAACACTGAACCCTACCACAGGGATCTGGGCCACGCCCCTGTGGTCTACATTGTATAATACTGAACCCTACCACAGGTGATCTGGGCCATGCCCCGAGGTCTACATTGTATAGTACTGAACCCTACCACGGGATCTGAGGTCTACATGTACATTGTATAGTACTGAACCCTACCACAGGTGATCTGGGCCATGCCCCGAGGTCTACATTGTATAGTACTGAACCCTACCACAGGGGATCTGGGCCATGCCCCTGAGGTCTACATTGTATAATACTGAACCCTGTATAATACTGAACCCTGTATAATACTGAACCCTACCACAGGGGACTGTGGTAGCAAGTGATTTATTGCCCAGTTTTCCATTGTGAGAGGTGGGAAGTATGGAGTAAGAGATTGAAAACAAAATTATCAAAAGTGAGAATAGTTTTTACAGAGAAAAGGAACAATGCATATAATATTTAGCAACCGAAGAATTTGATGCCTTTACAAAGTTTGAACTGATCAATACATTTTATGCGATCACTTTTAGAGATCACTTAAAGAGTCGCCCTTCCTTTATGACCTTTAAAAAATTCAGTAGTTTTTGTGAAGTAACATATCAGACATAGTTGATGTTTCCAGGAGTAAAGTGTTGTCAACATTTTTGCTATTGTGCCTCGTGTAATTTCATCTTAAAAAGTTTCATGAAACCTTGTGTGTGGCCTCTGGCAGTGCCCATGATACGTTTGTGAGAGTTGATATTAACCAATGATGAAAAACTTACCTAAAGACAATGTTTAGTGATTGATCCAGACACTGATCTTGGGGAATTTCATAAAATACCTTTGGGGATGAATAAGTATGTGATTTTAGAACAAAAAATTGTCAGGATGATGTGTCCCCTGAAGATGCGGGGATCGTGGTGTTTCCGAGATCTACTACCAATGTAGATTTGTATTACCAATAAAGGGATGATATTGTAGCATAGATATATAAAGATGATTTGATCGTGACCGTTGAAATGTGAGATAAGCGCTTTCTTATAAGTGATTCTGTTGTGTAGCCAATGACAGGGTGCTATTTTTTTTAAATATATTCGTAAGGAAGAAATGTTTTATTGACCAATGAGAGAAAAAAACGTACTTCATAAACAATGTTGATTTTTAGCCAATGAGAGCAAAGCTTACAAGATGGCATCAGAGGAAGGAGGAATGCGTAAAAATGGTGGTGGTGGTGGTTCCATGGTTCGTTTGTGTCTCAGAGTCGCCTCAAACATCTGCCCATGTGGACGGACGTCTAGATATCGTTTAAATAGACCGGTAATTCATATATTGATTTCTGCCTGACTTGATTGTCCAGCAATTCCCTGTGATTTGTATCACTGGTTATATATTTGTATGAAGCTATATGTAATACATGTTTGGTTGTAGATAAACTGACAAAGTTGTGAAAATTCAGAATTACCTTCGATTGTCTCTTTTTCCTTGTCTTTACATATTTCTACTGTTTTCACCACTCAATGCCTAAGGACTGGTGTTGTGTCTCTATTGCATCGTATTTTCTTAATAACTATCAACAGATAGAGACAGGCTTTATAATTAAGCTCAGAGTACTTATAGTCATTTATACATTGTTTAAGTAATGTTTAAATTGTGACAGAAAATTAATATAATTGTATTTATAAGTAAATCAGCGAAATAAGTCATATATAGTCATTTATACATTGTTTAAGTAATGTTTAAATTGTGACAGAAAATTAATATAATTGTATTTATAAGTTAATCAGCGAAATAAGTCATATATATAAGTATAGTGACAACAGTGCAGAAAATATCATTTGTCATATATATTTCCTCAGAAATTTAACCCCTGCAGCCTATCACAAGACCCAAGTGAAGTGTTTTCTGCAGATTATATCATGATCTCTTCATTACATGATGGCATATAGTATATGTACAAATTACTTATTGATACATATATATATCTTCACATACCTTATCCCCTAATGATGTTGTAAACTGATTTTTAGTCAAAGGCTGTTGTAACCATCAGTTTTAATTTTCAAATGTTTTATGGATTTTAATTAAGTTTATAAATAATTGATTTTGAACTAATGCTGAAAACTGAAAAACACTGGCAGTTTTGATAAAGTGGTTGATGGGAGATAAATGAAGTCTTTATAAAAATCATAATATATGTGGTAGCATAGAACTCTTCCAATTCTAAGGTTGGAATAGTTCATTATGAAATTTCAGGGTTGAATGAGTTAAATTTAAAGAAAAAATCAGTTTACAGTAATATTTATCTCAAAGTTTACAAACATTGTTTCTCTGAATGACCTTGACCGTATTCTATTTTTGTATCACAGGGGCCTGAAGGTCATTCCAATATAAACACATCAAAATATGAACGATTCAAGGTATATAACTCACCATTAACAAAATATTATCATGATTTTCAACAAATCTTAATGAAATTTAACGCTAATAATACCTCCATATTTATCGCTGACTGTGCTTCTCGAGAGAAAATGTCGTAAAATTGGATAGACATAACAATTAGATATTGGCTTCTGGTTGTTTTGATTGTGATGTATTGCAAACTCTCATCTCTACTGTAAGAACTTTGAACCCATGCTGTTGGTTGATCTACATCTTCGAAGATTTCTTCCTTCATATTTAAGAAAGAAAACGCATGGATTTGTTATGAAAATGAAATATGAAAGAAAACTAAGTGTTGATCTCTGGCTCTCCCATTTCTCTAATGCTTCATTTCAATCACTAATACAGTTGATATCTATCATTTTCAGTCTCTTTCATATATTTATTTATTCAAAGGACATGTGTAAAAAAAAATATGATATGTATATGTGTTTTTATCACAAGGTGCAATGATTATCCAGACTGTATTTCAGAAATGGTTGATCTGAATAACCGAAATGTTTTCTCCGTATCACATATATGTTTGATCAGTGTCAAGGGAGAAGTTTGTGTGCATCACTGGAATGTTTGGTCTGTGTCACAGAAATGTTTGGTCTGTGTCACAGAAATGTTTGGTCAGTGTCACAGAAGAGCTTAATCAAAGTCTTCATGGCTTTCAGACAAATGCTCGTCCATAGCAGATGAATCTTGATGTATGCATATATAACGTGGGAGATCTTGGCCACATTTTTTATGGGTTTTAATAAACTTATGTGATTTCCAGAGATAGATTTAAATGTCAAAAAATACTTTTCTAGTATAATGCTTCTATTATATGTATATTTGATTGCATTTCTTTGCAGCACCTATCTTTTACATTTTTGCAGCACTTTTCAAAAGAGAAATTATTGAGAATGATTGTATTGATACTTCTGTGTGAATTACAATGAATTGTTATATTATATAAGTACATGTATTGTCTAATTACCAGCAAACTCTTTTCATATTGATGTGTCTGTTGTTGTGTATGTGTATATTTGAAATATAATCAAAACTGTGCCATTGTCTTAATTATGTTTCAAATATTGTTTGTTTGGTTTAATGCTTTAATAACAACAGTTTGTTTTTGTCTTCATCCCACACAGGATCAGGACTTTGGTTTTAATCAATTGCTGTAATTTGTTTTGTAGGACCAAAATGAGCAGCCAAATGACCAAATACAGTCCACAGTTTCCATGGTGTCGACATCCAAGCCTCACTTGGAAGAACCTGTTGACGAGGACATTGAGGAAGAAATAGAGTTACCTCCCCCTATGGAATTACAGCGTCCGTTGTTTGGACAGGAAGGGTCTCCGGAGGACATATCTGCAAATTTTGTAAGTTCTTGTGTTGCAATTTCATATTTATTTATTAGACAGCAGTTAGTATAGCGCTATTTTGTAGTTAGATGAAGCATATCTCTAAGATAACTAACAATATAAGATTATATAATTTTTGCAAATGATACGAACATTGCAATTCGGGAATTTGATAGGAACTTCTTTATCAGGCACTTAATTCTTGTCCTTTGGCCTTCGGCTCATTACCTATATGTGTGCGTACCAGTTTGTGTGCTGGAGGATTTGAAAGTGTTCTTTTTTAAGGTGAGCTAGGCAACGGCCTTCTTCAATAGTGGCACCTCACTTGAATGCTACAGCACAGATACTGTGGCACCCGCCCAAGACCATTTTATTTTCTGCCTGGAATATTGAATTTGTGTCAGCAGGAAAAAAACACCTTTGAATATTCATGCAACAACTTGGCTTTGGGGATTGAACCTCGACTCTCTGGATGGAAAGCCGGAGTGTTAATCACTCGACGAAACATGTTCATAGAAACAGTGATACAAAGATACAAGGTTTCACATACTGTGGATTTGTGTTACAGTTTTCTATGTCTTGGATAAATGATGGAGTTTTCTCCCTTGAATGACTTAATCGGCATGTATGCGTGGTTATGTCCCTTTATATTGTCGATTAATTTATTTAACCCAAATTATCATTTATCAAGGGCAATTAATTGGTCTTTTGTTCCGAAAAAAAATAGTCCCATGACTTAAGTTGTGGTATATCTTTATGTTTGGTTTGTTTTCCAGGCATCTGTTTCATTGAACCCGACTAATCCGCCCGCTTTAGAAGTGATGACAGAAATGGAGCAGAAAGTTCGGGAACGCATTGTAAGTACCATTTACCAGTCGGGAGCCCATTGTAAGTACCATTTACCAGTCGGGAGCCCATTGTAAGTACCATTTACCAGTCGGGAGCCCATTGTAAGTACCATTTACCAGTCGGGAGCCCATTGTAAGTACCATTTACCAGTCGGGAGCCCATTGTAAGTACCATTTACCAGTCGGGAGCCCATTGTAAGTACCATTTACCAGTCGGGAGCCCATTGTAAGTACCATTTACCAGTCGGGAGCCCATTGTAAGTACCATTTACCAGTCGGGAGCCCATTGTAAGTACCATTTACCAGTCGGGAGCCCATTGTAAGTACCATTTACCAGTCGGGAGCCCATTGTAAGTACCATTTACCAGTCGGGAGCCCATTGTAAGTACCATTTACCAGTCGGGAACCCATTGTAAGTACCATTTACCAGTCGGGAGCCCATTGTAAGTACCATTTACCAGTCGGGAACGCATTGTAAGTACCATTTACCAGTCGGGAGCCCATTGTAAGTACCATTTACCAGTCGGGAACGCATTGTAAGTACCATTTACCAGTCGGGAGCCCATTGTAAGTACCATTTACCAGTCGGGAACGCATTGTAAGTACCATTTACCAGTCGGGAACGCATTGTAAGTACCATTTACCAGTCGGGAACGCATTGTAAGTACCATTTACCAGTCGGGAACCCATTGTAAGTACCATTTACCAGTCGGGAGCCTATTGTAAGTACCATTTACCAGTCGGGAGCCCATTGTAAGTACCATTTACCAGTCGGGAACGCATTGTAAGTACCATTTACCAGTCACAATTTTCTCCAAAAATTCAAAAGATATAAAATACAAAGCTCCAGTGTGGAATGAATTTTCTATGTTAATCAGTAGCATCATAGGTCAGTAAAATGCTGTAAGATAGAAAAAAAAACCACATTTAAAAAAAATCATATTTGATTGGAAACACCTATGCCACTCACCAGCAACAATATCACTGATAAAAAGGCATTCATTATCAATATCTTGAAGGTTTTATTACTGCAATTGTCTTATAAGAAATGTCTGTTGCTGTGTTTGTCGAGTTTTATCAAAATATATTATTTAGGGTTGATTTGTTGATTTGATCTTGATGTAGGACCCGAATGGGGACTGTAACTCGGAACAGCCGGGATCTTCAGGGTCAGAGACGGGGAATGACCAACCACTAGAACCCAGCGAGGAACAGCAGCAAAAAGGACTGCAGAAACGAACGTAGGGCAACACACTGAAACAGGCCTAGAAACACTCTCTTCTGTCGAGTACTCTCTTCTGTCGAGTTGTCGAGTACTCTCTTCTGTCGAGTATACTCTCTTCTGTCGAGTTGTTGTAACTTAGGTTAATGTTATCAAGTTATCCTCACATGTTGCAATTTGCAAATTGTTAAATTGTGCCTTATTTTACAAATGTTTCTCTATACACATCTAGCTTTTGGTCTAGTAATGCCTTCTGCTATGCTGGACATTTTTACATCTTTTTAATTAAATTACTAATTATATTGCCATACAAGCAAGTTGCAAAATTACCAAAGTTTTCTTTAAATGGTTAAGATATCTTAATCAGATGTTTTCATTTCTTCAGAAATATTTGTTGTTTCCCTGATACATATAAACAGACAATGCAAATTTGAGATGGAAAATTAACTAAAACAGACGTCACTGAAAAGGTTTACTTAGCAGGAATGTAAGGTATATTTGCAAGATTTATTGAGTCACTGCTATGTAAAAACAATGTTCTTACCCAGACAGTTTCGCTGACATTCTGCCAGCTTGGTCACTAGTGACGTTAGTGATGTGGGAGTTACTTCCCCTTGTTAATCCCACTCTCACTTCACTAACGTCACTAGTGACCAACCTGGCAGAATGTCAGCGAAACTGTCCGGGTAAGAACATTGTTTTTACATAGCAGTGACTTGATGAACCGTGCAAATATAAAACAGATGTCTCAAAATGTCTAGTCGTATGAAAAATGAACGCAGCATGGTAAGAAAGTTTTATTACTTGAAATTCAATCCTTCAGAAGCTGTTTTATGCTGTGTCTTTACAGTGTTAATTATTTTTTTATGGTTTTGTCCATTTTGCTCAGGTTTTTGATAAAGATATTATCATTGAACTCAAATGATTTCTTTTTCGCACACAGATTTGTGATACAGGAACTTGTAGATACGGAGCGTGATTACGTCAAAGACCTGGGATCTTTAGTAGAGGTAAGCCATCACGTGAGCTTTACAGCCAGAGTATATCTCCAGCAGGGTGTGTAGAACAGTGTGACAGTATTACCAGTAAGTCTCACTATTCAGATTCAGGCTCACTTATGGCATTCCTGATTGGTTTGGGTTTTTATTCAGCTTTACTTATAGACCCTTTTTCAATCAAGCATTCCTGTTAATTACTTACTCAGGTTTGCTCCTTGCATTAATACAGGTAAAGGCTGTATATATACATTTCCTGGCATTGTCTTAGACCTGGGAGTAAGGGTCTTACCTAGGTATTGTCTTAGACCTGGGAGTAAGTGTCTTACCTAGGCATTGTCTTAGACCTGGGAGTAAGGGTCTTACCTCGGCATTGTCTCAGACCTTGGAGTTAGGGTCTTACCAAGGCATTGTCTCCGACCTGGGAGTTAGGGTATTCCCTAAACATTGTCTCAGACCTGGGGGTAAGGGTCTTACCTAGGCAATGTCTTAGACCTGGGAGCTAGGGTCTTACCAAGGCATTGTCTCAGACCTTGGAGGTAGGGTCTTACCTAGGCATTGGCTTAGACCTGGGAGTAAGGGGCTTACCTAGGCATTGTCTCAAACCTGGGAGTTAGGGTCTTACCTAGGTATTGTCTTAGCCCTGGGAGTTAGGGTCTCACCTAGGTATTGTCTTAGTCCTGTGAGTCAGTGTCTTACCTAGGCACTGTCTTACACCTGGGAGTAAGGGTCTCACCTAGGTATTGTCTTAGACCTGGTCTTAGACCTGGGAGTAAGGGTCTCACCTAGGTATTGTCTTAGTCCTGTGAGTCAGTGTCTTACCTAGGCACTGTCTTACACCTGGGAGTAAGGGTCTTACCTAGGCATTGTCTCAAACCTGGGAGTTAGGGTATTACCTAAACATTGTCTCAGACCTGGGAGTAAGGGTCTTACCTAGGCATTGTCTCAGACCTGGGAGTAAGGGTCTTATCTAGGCATTGTCTCAGACCTGGGAGTTAGGGTCTCACCTAGGTATTGTCTTAGACCTGGGAGTTAGGGTCTTACCTGGACATTGTCTCAGACCTGGGAGTAAGGGTCGTACCTAGGCATTGTCTCAGACCTGGGAGTAAGTGTCTTACCTAGGCATTGTCTCAAACCTGGGGGTAAGGGACTTACCTAGGCATTGTCTCAGACCTGGGAGTAAGTGTCTTACCTAGGCATTGTCTCAAACCTGGGAGTTAGGGTATTACCTAGGCATTGTCTTAAACCTTCGAGTAAGGGTCTTACGTAGGCATTGTCTCAGACCTGGGAGTAAGGGTCTTACCTCGGCATTGTCTCAGACCTTGGAGTTAGGGTCTTACCTAGGCATTGTCTCAAACCTGGGAGTTAGGGTATTACCTAGGCATTATCTTAGACCTGGGAGTTAGGGTATTACCTAGGCATTGTCTCAGACCTGGGAGTAAGGGTCTTATCTAGGCATTGTCTCAGACCTGGGAGTTAGGGTCTCACCTAGGTATTGTCTTAGACCTGGGAGTTAGGGTCTTACCTGGACATTGTCTCAGACCTGGGAGGAAGGGTCTTACCTAGGCATTGTCTCAGACATGGGAGATAGGGTCTTACCTAGGTATTGTCTTAGACCTGGGAGTTAGGGTATTACCTAGGCATTGTCTTAAACCTTCGAGTAAGGGTCTTACCTAGGCATTGTCTCAGACCTGGGAGTAAGGGTCTTACCTAGGCATTGTCTCAGACCTGGGAGTTAGGGTATTACCTAGGCATTGTCTCAGACCTGGGAGTAAGGGTCTTACCTAGGCATTGTCTCAGACCTGGGAGTTAGGGTCTTACCTAGGCATTGTCTCAGACCTGGGAGTTAGGGTATTACCTAGGCATTGTCTTAGACCTGGGAGTAAGGGTCTTACCTAGGCATTGTCTCAGACCTGGGAGTTAGGGTCTTACCTAGGCATTGTCTCAGACCTGGGAGTTAGGGTATTACCTAGGCATTGTCTTAGACCTGGGAGTAAGGGTCTTACCTAGGCATTGTCTCAGACCTGGGAGTTAGGGTCTTACCTAGGCATTGTCTCAGACCTGGGAGTTAGGGTATTACCTAGGCATTGTCTTAGACCTGGGAGTAAGGGTCTTACCTAGGCATTGTCTCAGACCTGGGAGTTAGGGTCTTACCTAGGCATTGTCTCAGACCTGGGAGTTAGGGTATTACCTAGGCATTGTCTTAGACCTGGGAGTAAGGGTCTTACCTAGGCATTGTCTCAGACCTGGGAGTTAGGGTCTTACCTAGGCATTGTCTCAGACCTGGGAGTTAGGGTATTACCTAGGCATTGTCTTAGACCTGGGAGTAAGGGTCTTACCTAGGCATTGTCTCAGACCTGGGAGTTAGGGTCTTACCTAGGCATTGTCTCAGACCTGGGAGTAAGGGTCTTACCTAGGCATTGTCTCAGACCTGGGAGTTAGGGTCTTACCTAGGCATTGTCTCAGACCTGGGAGTTAGGGTATTACCTAGGCATTGTCTTAGACCTGGGAGTAAGGGTCTTACCTAGGCATTGTCTCAGACCTGGGAGTTAGGGTCTTACCTAGGCATTGTCTCAGACCTGGGAGTTAGGGTATTACCTAGGCATTGTCTTAGACCTGGGAGTAAGGGTCTTACCTAGGCATTGTCTCAGACCTGGGAGTTAGGGTCTTACCTAGGCATTGTCTCAGACCTGGGAGTTAGGGTATTACCTAGGCATTGTCTTAGACCTGGGAGTAAGGGTCTTACCTAGGCATTGTCTCAGACCTGGGAGTTAGGGTCTTACCTAGGCATTGTCTCAGACCTGGGAGTTAGGGTATTACCTAGGCATTATCTTAGACCTGGGAGTAAGGGTCTTACCTAGGCATTGTCTCAGACCTGGGAGTTAGGGTCTTACCTAGGTATTGTCTCAGACCTGGGAGTTAGGGTCTTACCTAGGCATTGTCTCAGACCTGGGAGTTAGGGTATTACCTAGGCATTGTCTTAGACCTGGGAGTAAGGGTCTTACCTAGGCATTGTCTCAGACCTGGGAGTTAGGGTCTTACCTAGGCATTGTCTCAGACCTGGGAGTTAGGGTATTACCTAGGCATTGTCTTAGACCTGGGAGTAAGGGTCTTACCTAGGCATTGTCTCAGACCTGGGAGTTAGGGTCTTACCTAGGCATTGTCTCAGACCTGGGAGTTAGGGTATTACCTAGGCATTGTCTTAGACCTGGGAGTAAGGGTCTTACCTAGGCATTGTCTCAGACCTGGGAGTTAGGGTCTTACCTAGGCATTGTCTCAGACCTGGGAGTTAGGGTATTACCTAGGCATTGTCTTAGACCTGGGAGTAAGGGTCTTACCTAGGCATTGTCAGACCTGGGAGTTAGGGTATTACCTAGGCATTGTCTCAGACCTGGGAGTAAGGGTCTTACCTAGGCATTGTCTCAGACCTGGAAGTTAGGGTATTACCTAAGCATTGTCTCAGACCTGGGAGTAAGGGTCTTACCTAGGCATTGTCTCAGACCTGAGAGTTAGGGTCTTACCTAGGCATTGTCTTAGACCTGGGATTTAGGGTCTTACCTAGGCATTGTCTCATACCTGGGAGAAAGGGTCTTCCCTAGGCATTGTCTTAGACCTGGGAGTAAGGGTCTTACCTAGGAATTGTCTCAGACCTGGAATTAATTAAGGGTCTTACCAAGGTGACCCTAGTTTATTGTTTATTTTATGGAAGATTGATTTGAAAATGAAAACCAGATAATGCTAAGCAGTAGGAGACATACATTAGGTATTTCGGAGTATGTTCTATGAAATAGTGGTCAGCGGTGTATTTGTCAAGGTTCACTTTTCCTAAAATTAAACATCAACATTTGACCTTTTGTGTTGTCAGGGTTACCAGGCTTATATGAGCGAGAATGAAAACACTATTCCAGAGAGTATGAAGGGTATCAGTGATGTCGTATTCGGCAACATTGGGCAGATCTACGACTTTCACAGACTGTAAGTCACATGACCTCAATATTCACATCTGATTGGATAGAACAGAATTTGTATTTGAAAATATTTGTTATGTTTGTGTCCATTCATAGCTAGATTTTAGGTCTTAAATCTCAAATTGATCTTTACATACTGTTTTACGTACATTAATGAAAAAATTGTTTTTAACAATAGTGCTGCAAAAAAATAAAAAGCCACAACCAGACTTTCATTTTGAAGTTAAATTTTTTATTCAATTAAAAACATGCCATTTCTTGTGGCATTAAGGTAAAAAATGTATATATTGAATATGAAGATTGAAATTATTTTGATAAAAAGACAAGAGTCTGTGAATTTCTATATACATTTATTCCGTTGAAATGAACTTTTTTGTTTTCATTGATACATAAAATGCTTATTCAACTTCATTTAATTTTCACGGAGCAGAACCTTTCAACCAGCCCTAGAAAAATGTGTAGAAGAACCAGAACGACTAGGCTCAATATTTTCTACACAGGTGAGTTATCTCCCTTTGCATACATATAACATAAATGGAATCTCGTTTTATGTTTCTTCCTTCCTGGAAAGGATCGACATTCATCTGAATGCTTAAGACTGTATACTCCAGTTAGTGGTAGACTTGTGAGTATAGACTAAGCTGAGATTCTAACTGACTCTAGCTGTATATATATATACTCCACTTAGCGGTAGACTTGTGAGTATAGACTAAGCTGAGATTCAACTGACCCTAGCTGTATATATATATACTCCACTTAGCGGTAGACTTGTGAGTATAGACTAAGCTGAGATACTAACTGACCCTAGCTGTATATATATACTCCACTTAGTGGTAGACTTGAGAGTATAGACTAAGCTGAGATTCTAACTGTCCCTAGCTGTATATATATATATACTCCACTTAGGGGTAGACTTGTGAGTATAGACTAAGCTGAGATTCTATCTGACCCTAGCTGTATATATATATATATACTCCACTTAGTGGTAGACTTGTGAGAATAGACTAAGCTGAGATTCTAACTGACTCTAGCTGTATATATATATACTCCACTTAGTGTGAGACTTGTGAGTATAGACTAAGCTGAGGTTCTAACTGACCCTAGCTGTATATATATATATATACTCCACTTAGTGGTAGTCTTGTGAGTATAGACTAAGCTGAGATTCAACTGACCCTAGCTGTATATATATATACTCCAGTTAGTGGTAGACTTGTGAGTATAGACTGAGCTGAGATTCTAACTGACCCTAGCTGTATATATTTATACTCCACTTAGTGGTAGACTTGTGTGTATAGACTAAGCTGAGATTCTAACTGCCCCTAGCTGTATATATATATATACTCCACTTAGTGGTAGGCTTGTGAGTATAGACTAAGCTGAGATTCTAACTAACCCTAGCTGTATATATATATACTCCACTTAGTGGTAGACTTGTGTGTATAGACTAAGCTGAGATTCTAACTGTCCCTAGCTGTATATATATATATACTCCACTTAGGGGTAGACTTGTGAGTATAGACTAAGCTGAGATACTAACTGACCCTAGCTGTATATATATACTCCACTTAGTGGTAGACTTGAGAGTATAGACTAAGCTGAGATTCTAACTCACCCTAGCTGTATATATATATATATACTCCACTTAGTGGTAGTCTTGTGAGTATAGACTAAGCTGAGATTCAACTGACCCTAGCTGTATATATATATACTCCACTTAGTGGTAGACTTGTGAGCATAGACTAAGCTGAGATTCTAACTGACTCTAGCTGTATATATATATACTCCACTTAGTGGTAGACTTGTGAGAATAGACTAAGCTGAGATTCTAACTGACTCTAGCTGTATATATATATACTCCACTTAGTGGTAGACTTGTGAGTATAGAATAAGCTGAGATTCTAACTGACCCTAGCTCTATATATATATATATACTCCACTTAGTGGTAGGCTTGTGAGTATAGACTAAGCTGAGATTCTATCTGACCCTAGCTGTATATATATATATATATATACTCCACTGTGTGGTAGACTTGTGAGTATAGACTAAGCTGATATTCTAACTAACCCTAGCTGTATATATATATACTCCACTTAGTGTGAGACTTGTGAGTATAGACTAAGCTGAGATTCAACTGACCCTAGCTGTATATATATATACTCCACTTAGTGGTAGTCTTGTGAGTATAGACTAAGCTGAGATTCTAACTGTCCCTAGCTGTATATATATATATACTCCACTTAGGGGTAGACTTGTGAGTATAGACTAAGCTGATATTCTAACTGACCCTAGCTGTATATATTTATACTCCACTTAGTGGTAGACTTGTGTGTATAGACTAAGCTGAGATTCTAACTGACTCTAGCTGTATATATATATACTCCACTTAGTGGTAGTCTTGTGAGTATAGACTAAGCTGAGATTCTATCTGACCCTAGCTGTATATATATATATACTACACTTAGTGGTAGACTTGTGAGTAAAGACTAAGCTGAGATTCTAACTGACCCTAGCTGTATATATATATACTGTTGAATGTTGTATGGGAATTCTTATGGTCCTGTCTATGTTGTCATGGTAATGTTCACAGGTCAGCTAGAAAACTAGATGGACATTACAGGTCCCATGAGCCTCTTATATGGCAGCACACTTGCCAACTTTTTGAAATTTCTTTTGGGAGATTATGCATGCTCAGAATTACATGGATAAATAAAACTTGTGAGTGTACACACTAGGGAAAAAAAGAAAGGGCATCTTTTGAGCTGTTCTTTTAGATGAAAGCGTCAAATTTTATAAAATACCAACAGTGTAGCAAATTTACTGGTTGAAAATGCTAAATTTGTAGAGTCTCCCTCCAAAATAGGGAGAGTTGGCAAGTATGAAGAAATGTGTATGTAATTTGAATAATGAATGTGTTTCTTCGTTATTCCAGATTGCAAATGTAGATGTCTTTGATTAAGGTATGAGACAGGTTTTTTAAATCTAATTGAAAAATTTATAAATTTCAGGAGCGTAAGTTAAGGATGTATGTTAAATACTGTGAGAATAAGCCGAAGTCGGACTACATCGTAGCGGAGCATCTGGATGACTATTTTGAGGTGAGTTGATTGCCGAACTTCCCCGTCAGGACCCTATCTGAAGCTTTGATAACCTATGATACGTTTTCCTGTAGATGTATGTTTCACCAGAACAGTCCAATAGGTATACAAATGTTTGTACATTCGTCACACTGTGAAAGTGATCATTTGTAATGATTTTCTAAATTACAAAAACACAGTGTGTGATTGATATATAAAATAAAAATGTGCAATTGACGATTACTAAATGTGAGTAATATCTGATTTCTACAAATAACGAGGCTTTGGGGTTCACACCTCACACCATTGGTTAGAAATTGGTTTTGTTCTGTTTGGTTCAAAATGTTCTTGCTGTACAAATAATTGGTTATATAGCTTTCATACAAACACTATCCTGAGCACACAAAGGGAAATAACTCACACGGAGAGGAATCAAAATTGATGATTTTCATTATGGTCATTTAAAGAAATTTTTCGTGGTTCAAATTTCTAGATATGACGTTTCAATTTATTTATTTTTTGAAACATTATATTTGTATCATAAGTTAAGTTTATTTACCGATGCCGGATCTATTAAGATCGTCTACAAAATAATACCATAGAAATATTGAACTATAGGTGAATGTGATGTTACTTGGATCATTAACGTATCTCAGATCTATAATTAAATAGGAGTTCCCGGTCCTCCCAATGCTTATCCAGTCTGTTTTAAAAAGTATTTACACATTTACCACATTTTCTGGAAGATTGTACCATATTCTTACAATTCGTAAAACAAAACGATTCTTGTGAATATCTTATTTAAAATGTTGTGGAAATACTTTCATTAAACGTCCTCTTATTCCCTGCTTTGCGATGGATCTTTCCACGTCTTAATAAAATCTGTTGTAAAATGTTTCGTAAACATTGTATCCTAATTGTTGTTTTTTGTTTGACCAGGAAATGCGTATGAGGTTAGGTCATCGTCTACAGCTGCCCGACCTCCTGATCAAACCTGTTCAGAGAATCATGAAATATCAACTCTTGCTCAAGGTGAGACAACATACTCTTAAAGTTGTCCTTTTTTAAAAATATTCAAAATCATCACTTTTAGTTCATGTTTAATCAAAGCCTTTCCAAGTTATGTCTTTTTCCTAATTTGTCAGATTTATTTCACTTTCGACTTCTTATTTTCATACACCCTACATCAATTTTGAAATTTTTCACTAAGAAAGTTTTCACAATTTTGAGTGACAGTTTTTCATAATATCCTGTAACTATTGCAAAGCTTCCCCGTTCTTCTGCTGAGTTTGTGATTGTTTGATAAGGAATTTAAAAACATGTGCAGTGTTCTTTTTCCTATAAATTTGGTAGAAATTGATAACTATTTATGTAATGACATTACCCAGTTAGGCTGTGAAAAAATCTCCCAACTTCAAATCTATTCTCTCTTTTTCAAAACGCAAATCTCCCTTTCACGTGTTCAAAAGTCAGCATATGTATGGGTAAGCCAGTGGTTACTAATAATGCCGCTACCGTCTTGCCTAGATGTTACAAAAACTTGTTACATGTAAATACTGTCAAACCTTGGTAAGTCGTTAATACTGAAGGTAAACAAAGTATTTAAAAGTCTATATGTTATTTATCTTGTTTACAGGATATACAAAAACACACGGACAGAATTGGTCAGGATACAAAATCATTGCAAGACGCGCTGGTCGTCATGTGTAACGTACCCAAGGAGGCCAACGATATGATGCAAGTGGGCCGCCTGCAGGGGTTTAATGTAAGTGGGGCACCTTCAGAGGTTAACTGTAAGTGGCCTGGGGCACCTACAGGGCTTTACTGTACGTGGCCGCGGACACCTTCAGGGGTTTACTGTACGTGGCCTGGGACACCTACAGGGGTTTACTGTACGTGGCCTGGGACACCTACAGGGGTTTACTGTACGTGGCCTGGGACACCTACAGGGGTTTACTGTACGTGGCCGCGGACACCTACAGGGGTTTACTGTACGTGGCCTGGTACACCTACAGGGGTTTACTGTACGTGGCCGCGGACACCTACAGAGGTTTATTGTACGTGGCCTGGTACACCTACAGGGGTTTACTGTACGTGGCCTGGGACACCTACAGGGGTTTACTGTAGGTGGCCTGGGACACCTACAGAGGTTTATTGTACGTGGCCTTGGGTTACTACAGGGGTTTTATGTAAGTGGGGCACGTACAGGGGTTTAATTTAAGTGGGGCACCTACAGGGGTTTTATGTAAGTGGAGCACCTACAGGGGTTTTATGTAAGTGGCCTGGGGCACCTGCAGGGTTTGACGTTTCAATTATATGAGGGGCATGTACAGGGGTTTCATATAAAGTGGGGCACCTCCAGAAGTTTAATTTAAGTGGAGCACTAACAGGAGTTTAATGTAAGTTAGGAAAGTACATGGTTTGAAGAAATAAATTATATATTTCGCGCATGCAGGGGTTTGATATAAGATATGGTTATTCAATTTAAAGGCTTTATTGAAAATATTCAATTTATGTGTGTATACTTTGTGTTTATCGGGCATAATGATTCCTATTTTCTGCTTCAGGGTAAAATAACTGCTCAAGGAAAACTACTTCTGCAGGTAAGAACACTTTTGAACCTACTTATTTAAATGTAGGCTGGATATGTACAATGACTGACCAATGAAACTGATGTCTTAAATTCTAGGTATATATCCTGATAATGATTAAGATATCTTTCAAAAATACAAACCCACAAGAGATTCTCTTGAGGACATATGATTATCTCCCTTGAGAGCAGATTGTTACACTTAGCAACTGATGTCTCCTGTTATGTTTGATTGTATCCCCTGACAACTCATAACCTTTCCAACTGATGTCTCCTGTTATGTTTGATTGTATCCCCTGACAACTCATAACCTTTACAACTGATTGTCTCCCCTTACCATTTGTTGCCTCTTCTCCTTACTAGTGATTTGCTGTACTTTACAACTGATTGTCTCCCTTGGTTGCAGGACACATTATTGGTAGCAGAGGTCCAAGGTAGTGGCCAGCCTAAGTTCAAGGAACGACGACTGTTCTTGTTTGAACAGAGCGTGATATTTAGTGAAATGACAGAGCGAAGACGTGGCACGTTATCCAACCCTAGCTATGTGTACAAAAACTATCTCAATGTAAGTCACTGGGAATCAGAAGCTTGTTTCTGTTCACAATTGATAAGTATAGAGAAGGTTTCCAAACATCATTGACATCCTGTCACGTGTTTGCTTTAAGATGTTTATTTTAAAGAAATTTTACTCATCCTGGACAGAAGTACTTTTAGGTCACCTGAGCTTTAGCTCCTTCGTCGTCCGTCGTCTGTTAACATTTTACATTTTCAACTTAAGCTGAAATACTGTCAAAGGGATTTCATTGAAATCTAATATGGCCGCCACTGTAGCCATTTTGAAAAATTATAACAAACTTAAAGTCTAGTTCTACTGGGCCGATTTAACTGACACTTGGTATGAATGATCGACGCATTGGTCCTGACAAAGTGTTGTTATTTTTGGGTCGATCAGAAATCTAATATGGCCGCCAGGGCCGGCCAATTGAAAAACTATTTCAAACTTAAAGTCAAGTTTTACTGGGCCTATTAAACTGAAACTTGGTAGGAATAATCGACTCATGGTCTTAACAAAGTGTTGTTATTTTTCGTGTCTATCAGAAATCCAATATGGCTGCCATTTTGATAATTATGACGTAACCATGGTAACTGTGTACAGTCCAGCTGTGCTATTACAGTGAACAGTCCGGGCTATGCTGTTAAATCTGTGACTATGGTGACTGCTAAAAATCTTAGCTATCCTGTTACTTTGGTAACTGTTTACAGTTTTTGCTGTACTGTAACAATAATGACTATTTACAGTCTTGGCTGTACTGTAACTATGGTTGCTGTGTACAATCTTGGCTGTACTGTAACTATGGTTACTGTGTACAATCTTGGCTGTACTGCAACTATGGTTGCTGTGTACAATCTTGGCTGTACTGTAACTATGGTTACTGTGTACAATCTTGGCTGTACTGTAACTATGATTGCTGTGTATAATCTTGGCTGTACTGTTACTATGGTTGCTGTGTACAATCTTGGCTGTACTGAAACTATGGTGACTGTTTACAAACCTAGCTGTGCTGTAACTATGAGAACTGTTTACAATCTAGCTGTACTGTAACTAAGGTTACTGTTTACAATCCTAGCTGTACTGTAACTATGGTTACTGATTACAATCTTGGCTATACTGTAACTATGAGAACTGTTTACAATCCTAGCTGTGCTGTAACTATGGTTATTGTTTACAATCCTAGCTGTGCTGTAACTATGAGAACTGTTTACAATCCTAGCTGTGCTGTAACAATGGTAACTGATTACAATCTTGGCTATACTGTAACTATGAGAACTGTTTACAGGTAAATAAGATGGCCCTGAAGGAGGAAATAGAGCCAGGAGAGCCACTCAGATTTATGCTAATTAACCGAGCACCAGGCTCTACGACTCAGTTCATACTACAGGCACCCACCTTGGATATCAAACAAACATGGATACGGAACATCTCGGCCAGTTTGCAGCTCCAGAAAATCTTTGGTGATCGTATGTATATTTTCTTTTTGTAAAGAACAACGTTGACATCCTTCATGTACAAACAATAGCCATTATATCAAGAATGTGCTTATTAGATATCTGACATAACTTGTGGAAGTAAGAGAGCGCCAAACCACACTTTCGAGCACACCAGGGGTCAAACAGTGACCTCTAAGTCGACCAAATACTGTCGATGGGTAAAGTTTAAAGTTGTGGTGAAGTCTCTTTCACGAAGCAGTTATTAACCATTTGGAGTTCTACAATAACATTTTGAGGTTTCTTTGAATATATTTATGTGAATGACATAATATTGTTTCAACTGTTTCAATTCAGAAACATCTCCCCTTGCAGAAATGAATACATGGTATATCATGAAATTTTACACCACATTGATGATTTGAAATATTGTCCTATTTGTTTGTGCCTTATATACAGTAATCTATATTTAAATCTATTATGGATTGTATGGCTAACCCTACGGTGTACCAGGAAGATGTTAAAACAATATCTGTATACTGATTGTAGGCTTGGCTAACCCTACTGCGTACCAGGAAGATATCACCAAAGAGTTGTAAGTACTTGTATCAACGATCAGTTGGAGTATTTTTTTCCTGTCAGCAAAACACTCAAAATAAAACTTGTCTATTGCTGACAAAATTCGTCATTGCTTGGTACAAGAAATGGCTTTCTTGAATCTACTGCAGAAATCTTTCTTTATGATTGCAAGCAAACCACTTGAGTAGGGCAGTCACAACATTTGAGTTGGGCAGTCACAACATTTGAGTATGACGGGTACAACACTTGAGTAGGGCAGTCACAACATTTGAGTATGACAGGTACAACATTTGAATAGGTCAGTCAACATTTGAGTAGGTCAGTCACAATATTTGAGTAGGGCAGTCACAACATTTGAGTATGACAGGTACAACATTTGAATAGGTCAGTCACAACATTTGAGTAGGTCAGTCACAATATTTGAGTAGGGCAGTCACAACATTTGAGTATGACAGGTACAACATTTGAGTAGGGCAGTCACAACACTTGAGTATGACAGGTACAACACTTGAGTAGGGCAGTCACAACACTTGAGTATGACAGGTACAACATTTGAGTAGGGCAGTCACAACATTAAATAGGGCAGTCACAACACTTGAGTAGGTCAGTTACAACATTAAATAGGGCAGTCACAACACTTGAGTAGGTCAGTCACAACATTTGAGTAGGTCAGTCACAACATTTGAGTATGACGGGTACAACACTTGAGGAGGGCAGTCACAACATTTGAGTATGACGGGTACAACACTTGAGTAGGACAGTCAGAACATTTGAGTAGGTCAGTCACAACACTTGAGTAGGGCAGTCACAACACTTGAGTAGGGCAGTTACAACACTTGAGTAGGTCAGTCATAACACTTGAATAGGGCAGTCACAACACTTGAGTAGGGCAGTTACAACACTTGAGTAGGGCAGTCACAACACTTGAGTAGGGCAGTTACAACACTTGAGTAGGGCAGTCAGAACATTTGAGTATGAAGGGTACAACACTTGAGTAGGGCAGTCACAACACTTGAGTAGGGCAGTCACAACATTTGAGTATGAAGGGTACAACACTTGAGTAGGACAAGTACAAAACTTGGGTAGGGCAGTTTCAACACTCTAGTAGGTCAGTCACAACACTCCAGTAGGTCAGTCACAACACTTGAGTAGGGCAGTCACAACATTTGAGTAGGTCAGTCATAACACTTGAGTAGGTCAGTCACAACACTTGAGTAGGGCAGTCACAACACTTGAGTAGGGCAGTCACAACATTTAAGTAGGGCAGTCACAACACTTGAGTAGGTCAGTCACAACATTTGAGTAGGTCAGTCATAACACTTGAGTAGGGCAGTCACAACATTTGAGTAGGTCAGTCATAACACTTGAGTAGGTCAGTCACAACACTTGAGTAGGGCAGTCACAACATTTAAGTAGGCCAGTCACAACACTTGAGTAGGGGAGTCACAACATTTGAGTAGGTCGGTCATAACACTTGAGTAGGTCAATCACAACACTTGAGGAGGGCAGTTACAACACTTGAATAGGGCAGTCACAACATTTGAGTAGGGCAGTCACAACATTTGAGTATGACGGGTACAACACTGGAGTAGGGCAGTTACAACACTTGAGTAGGGCAGTTACAACACTTGAGTAGGGCAGTCAAAACACTTGAGTAGGTCAGTCACAACATTTGAGTAGGTCATTCACAACATTTGAGTATGACGGGTACAACACTTGAGTAGGGCAGTCACAACACTTGAGTAGGTCAGTCACAACACTTGAGTAGGGCAGTCACAACATTTGAGTATGAAGGGTACAACACTTGAGTAGGGCAGACACAACACTTGAATAGGGCAGTCAAAACACTTGAGTAGGGCAGTCACAACATTTGAGTAGGTCAGTCACAAATTCTAGTAATTCTGTGCATTAGCAATCTGTAGACAAGTATTTTGGAGGATATTTTCAATAATTCTATTGTTGATTCTCTTCTTTGTAGATTTGCACCAGATCTTAGTAATCCTCAAAGAGAGCCCCACCTCAGGAAGATGCAGTCCCAACCTCAACCAACTTCAAAGGGAGACAACTCCCGCTCTCAGACGCCACCTAGTGGCCAAATTAAAAACCAGATGTCGGATCCTCAGAAGTACTCACGTTGTCGCTCGGTCCCGGGGCCGACAGATGAGTCTCCGATATCCCCCGCTAACTGTGATCAGGATAGTAACCCACAGGGGCCCCCCATGAGGGAGGCCTCGCCTAAACCTAAACATTTTATTACAAAGAAATCAAAGAGTGACACTCCTATGGGCACAAGGACAGATGTTGGTAGTAGCCCGGATGTTGTTTACAATAGGACTAATTCTCGGGAGTTACCCCCCCTTGGGGGCCCCAGTGATGGAGTATCAGCGGGGGAAGGTGATAGCAGTATGGTAAGTTCACAAAACTCTCCAGCATCATGATATCGTTGAATGCCCCCGTATATGTGTGCTGCTGTCCATGTAATCCAGTAGTCTTCTCCGTTCTAGAGGTTCCTACTCACTGCGGAAATTGTACTCACTACGGAAATCGTACTCTGAACAAACACTGAACAGAAACCGCGCCGGGTTGAGAAACCCTGCCCGGTACAGAAAGCCGTTCTCAGTGTAGGACCGTGTTTGGTAGAAAAACTGTAATGGACAGAAACAATACTCGGTTAACATACCATGGTCTTACAGTGTATCAATTAGCATACCTGTTACAAAGCTGTACTTGGCTCAAAGTTTACCGATAGAATTCATGTCTTCATGAACACCAATCCGCTACGTGTACTGTGTTATTTGAAGTAGAGAGAGGAGAGAGGGAGAAAAAATGTGTCGGCCAAGACGATATTTTTTCTCATGCATATTGACTGCATCGTACAGTATAGTGCATCCTTCATAATTTCACCACTGCGTTGTAGTCAAGGATCGTTGTAACAGTTGCCGGATCCTAAAATACCCTTTGACCTCCCACTTGTGTGTCACTAGTTCCTACGTTCTCTTGGATGAGTGGATGCCTACTGTAGTTGAAATTAAAACTTAATAATATGTGTTTTGTCCGGAATGATCTAACAATTTGGAAACGTCGAAATACATGTGATTTGCATGAATGAGAAAATTGTTTATGTCTCTGTCTATATATGTGTATCAGCCATTCAATACATGCTTCTCAAAGACTATGATTGATGCCATTTTTACAAGCTTGTATTGGAATCAGATCAACAAATCATGAAAATGTTGAATTTGTTTTGTTTTGAAATATAAGTTTTCGATGTTAATCTGCTGGAAAATACATGCTTTTCTGTTATAACAAATGTTGCCACTTTTGCAAGCTTGTTTTGTAATCCAATCAACATAAAATTTTGATAGTTTTGAAAATGAAATGGCCATTCTTTGTGACTTGAAATCGTGCCGATTTTACAGGCTTTGCTTTGGAATTAGATTTTTAAACATTGGTACAAAAATGTTTTGTTGGCAAACCAGTTCCAAAAGATTGTAGATAGTATTTATTTGAGACAGAACATTGAGTATAGTATTTATTTGAGACAGAACATTGAGTATGTAATGGAAACAGTCTACATCACAGTTGTATGGCATTTACTGTTAAGCCTCTCTACTCTACAATAGGATGGCCAGTGTCAGTTGTGTTCAAAAATATTAACTCATTATAGGCATTTTCCTTTAATTGACTAAACATTAGAAACAACATCTTATTTCAATTTAATTCAAAATGTTAAGGCAAGCCAGAAAGAGGAGGATTGATTTATACTTAAGGAAAAGCGTAGGATATGCAGACATGCCGTATAATATCGTTGTAATTTAGAACATTTTCTTGTGTGAGCAACACCTCAAGATGTGGCGATCAAAATATTTTAAATGTTGAAAAATGTGTTGAAGTCTGATTTTAACTTAAGGATCCCTGTACCACTGCCAAAAACTTTATTCAAGTGGTCGGAAGTATCCTGGCCCAACTGTAAATTTAAACTTAAATTTAAATTAAAAAAATAAATGAAATGTACATGTTAATACAGCTATGATGTACGTAAAATGTATTTAAGTTAGGAGAGGGCTTAATTAAGTTGTACGAACTTGTGCCCAATCCTTTTTGTCATTTTCAAGGCAATAAAAATATGTTTTAGACGACTGTGCTACAGTTATATCCAAACGAAAATTAAAGGGAGATAACTGTTTACATGTATATGGAAAACCACAATGCAGTGGGACAGGGATTCTCAAATTGGAAACATATGGCTGTGTTGTTAAACCTGGAAACATGAAATTTAAATGTCAATGTATTTTATACATTCACCTACAGAACCTTTTAATCAAAACCTTGGCTGCTGTAGTTGTCTAGTATATTAGATGTATGTATCCATCTGTTATTAGAACATTTTCTACTGATTTCAAAGTACAAAGTTACCTTGATAAAAATTTCAAACTGAAAACATTTATATTAGAATTCAAAACAATAACATGAAAGGGAAGTATTTTTAGAAAATTGAAAATAAAGAGCATATACCTTGAATCCTAAAAATGGTACGGGGACAAAAATACAAAACCAAAAAATGCTGAATATTAACACTATCATGTAGAGTTGTAAAACAATTCACGTAGATCTGTAAAATATATTGAGATTACCTTACTTGTGATCTTATCTGATGATGTACATGTAGTTTATTAACCCAGGTGACCTAATCAAATTTGTAAATCGCCACATACATTTGTACTTATACCGACTATAAAATGCAGATAAATTTGAGATGAGTTTTTGTCAGTTTAGAAATAATGTTAGTATGTATTTTTTTTTAAAGTTTTCAATTCAATTTTTTTTTTTTTATTAATAATTAGGTTACTGATGGGGATTTTTCATCGTAGGTGCTTAAAAGAGGAGTTACATTACCTTGTTATAAATATCCGGGGCCAAGTGTTATTGTTCCTGTCTTTATACCGTCACAAGCCATACTCAGCATGTTGTAGTCAGGTCTTAGTGCATGTCCAGTGCTGTCCATAACACTGACATCTCCTGAAATTGAAGTATGTTATTCAAAATCTGGACTTTTTTAATTTTTGGTAAAACTCAAAACTGCATCATATTGTAGGGAGTGTCTACTAAAATGGAAAAGCGTTTGTTTAATTTTGAATGTACGACACATGAAACTTCAAAATATAATATTTACTTTCAAAGCTGTTGACCTCCAGGGTACTGTTTTGGTTGAAGACATCACACGATTCTCGTCAGAGTCACGATTCTCGTCAGACACACAATTTTCGTCAGAGTCATGATTCTCGTCAGAGTCACGATTTTCGTTAGTCACGATTGTCGTCAGAGTCACGATTCTCGTCAGAGTCACGATTCTCGTCAGACACACGATTCTCGTCAGAGTCACGATTCTCGTATCTTTAACTGATATAAGATGGCTAAATTACTGCTACATCATTCATAATACAGAAGCCTTACCTAGGCGAGCCTTGAGTTGTTAAAGGTTCCTTAACTATCTCTGAAAATGTTTTGTTTTAAATGTCTAGTCACTTCATCCTAAATTTAGATATTGTAGATCTCAACAACTTTTAATTCACATGTAAGATAGCGACAGTTTTAAAAAGCATTAAAATTTCAGGCAGACATAAGGTTGAAGGCGTTAATTGGCTAAAACCTATCAACAACATACAAATATAAACACAGTGTGATGTCAGCATATATTCTGTATGATATCAGCATACAATGCAGTATAGTTTGTGTATTGCAGTATAGTTACAGTCTAAACTGCGATTATGGTTTCACAATATATTGCAGTAAAGTTTCAGTATAATATATTACAGTGTAGTTAAGTGTGTATATGTATATATATATATATAGCAGTATAGTTTCAGTAAATGGATTAACAAAACAGCATGATATCAGTATTAAAATATGAGATAATTTTGGCATTTGGTGCTTCTACTTAAACACAAAAATAGAAGTATTTATTTGGAGTGAATGTTTTAAGCGTGTCCCATAGACATTAGTACATGATGTTAATTGTTGTATTTCAGTGGTTTTTTAAGCCCCTAAATATGTACACCAAGTACTTGACAACATAATGAGGAAAATATCAACATTGTGTAAAACAGTTGGGTGATTGTATTATTCTGTGTGTACCCTCTTATAAAGGTACAAAGCAGTTAATAAGATTATCATATTTCCAGCATATTTCCAGTTTTGTGCAGCATAGCTGATCGTAATGCTAATCTGCAGTATGAGGGTAGCTATACTGATGTTGCAGTATTATATAAACACTGCTGACTGACAATCATTAACAGGAGTAGTAGTGCTGTAGTCAGTATAGAAACAACATGTAATAGTTTTATACCAAATGGGGAACATTCAGCATAGCTCTTTACTAATAATATATAGGTAGATCTTTCAATCAGCTGTTCTCGACAGTTTGTTTACTTTACGGTATAGAAGAGATATGTTTGTATTGTTATTTTCTATTTAGGTACTAATAACCATACTGCATCAAATACATGCTGCAAATTGTACGAGGCAGTATGGAGGCAGTAAACCATGCTCCAGGGAGTAAATATAATACATATATATATATATAATAGCAGGAATATATTATACAAGTAAGGTTCACTACTAAAATTAATGACCTTATACTGCATTTAACCTGTTCTGGTATGAATAATTGACCAATGTGCATGTCTTGTGTCTGTACTGCTGTTAGGCTGCTGAATCGGGAGTATTGTTTCAGTATGCTGCAGCATTAGCAGTATAATTTCAGTATACTTAAGTTTGAGATATAGATAAGCTTGTGTGTCCCATTTCAGAAAGCATAAATACTAATGTTCATCTGTGTCTTGCTATTGACGCTTGAAAGTATCATCACAAGAAAATATAGCTCTATTTTTACATTCTCTATACAGAATCTTATGTCTATAGCCCAAATTTTCTTGTCGGTCATAGTTTTACCATCAAAGTTAAGTGTATTTATCACAATCAGAGTAAACCCCCTCACAAATTGATCTGCTGTTTATATATCCAATCAAAAAATGTGATAAAAAGACCTCCTTGACATGTAATGAAAATCAATGAGTTAGCTCCCTTAAGTAAAAGTTACTGTCCCTATATGAAGAGAGTTAGCTCCCTTTCTAAAAATCCCCCCCTCCCAATGTTTGAATTAAATTGACATAATTGAAATAATATCAGTTCCCATGAAAAAAAGTTTATATTAAATTGAAATAATTGAAATATTTAGTTCCCATGAAAAAAATACACCTCTTAAATTAAAATCGTGAAATAAAATTTAACGATTTAGCTCCCAACAAAAAGTGTACCTGCCTTTCTATAATGAATAAGGATTAAAGATTTATCTCCCTTGAGTTATGTACCCCCTCTCAGATGAAACTGGGTGAATCGGCTCTTTTTG